ACACATGCACACTCACACACACACACACACAGACACACATGTACTGCACAAACATCTCCGTCTTCCTCTCTGCACACATGTTAAAGTCATCACCCCTGCTCAGCGCTAGTAAAACACAACACCCCTGGCTTCTTTGCTGTTGTCAAGTCTTGCCATTAGCTGATGCCACTGGGGAATCCTACCCCAGTGAGGTGGGAGTCCCACGGGAACATCAGGCACCACGTTACATTCAGCCGCCACTCATGTGAACCCAAACATGTGAGCATAATTTGGAAAATATCATTTATACTGTGCGTCTTTGTACGTGTCTTGACATTTACAAACTGCGATAAAACTGACACGAGGGAGGAGGGAATAGAAAACGGGGTGAGAATAATTTGAGGTAATGTTTTGCTTAGTGAACAGTCAGTATTACCCAATCCTGGATGCTGGAGCAGTGGGAAGGAGGTTCTGGCTGGAGCTGCAGAAAGGGTCTGGGTTTCATTTTCCGGCAAGTGCAAGCCAACGGAGAGCTGCCAAGTACAGCTTTCTCTCTCAACACTTCCTGCTCTTCCCACTCTGGCGCGGGAGGAGACAGGCTTCACTCAAACGTCACATCGACTCAGGCAAGGGTGGCCGTTTTCATTCTCCCACTCCTCAATGGGCGTTAAAAACTCACATCTGTCTCGTGAACTACGCCCAACACATTCGTAAATAAATCATCCACTTGGATTATTAGGCCAGAGGTAATTAGGTGTTTGCAGGTGTTTGCATGCATGTAAAAAAAAAGGTGAACTTCCTGTGCAATTTAGCATCTTTAAATGACTCGCTGTAAAGCATAAAAACACAGCAGGGCTAGTTTTGCACCCAGTGGTATAATGCAAGAAAGAAAAGGAAATCCTTCTCCGAAATAGCGACCTTATCCGTTGTTTCGCTTTCATTTAAAAACGTTCGGAGCAGATTGCCAGATTAACACTACCTACTGAGTGCCATCCTAATTGGCCCTCTGCAGATGCAGTGAAAACACGTCATTTAGTTTCTGCACAAACAGACTTCTTTTTGCAGGTTATCAAGGCAGCTGCTTGGTTAGAAACACACCCCCTTTTCCAATGCTGATGTGCAATTAAAATGGTTTTAGAAATCCTCTTTGACAGTCCAGGGCTTAGCCAAAAATGTAAATGACATTAAAGGAGACAATGAATTTAATTTTGTTTAATGTCCCCTTTCGCTGATTCTCATTTACATCACATTTCCACATAAAGGGCTGACCTTATAAATACTGGCATTTGTTCAGCTTTTGGAGGTAATCACGCTTTTGCAAAAACCAGATGGGAGCACGCAAATTTTCCGATTTGTTTCCTAGAAGGCCGGGGGAGCGGCGCACGAGACGTTCTAAGGCTGCAGTCTTTTGTTTCTGGTAAACAACTTGACAACAAGTCAAGTGCACTCTGGGAAATGACCTCGTAGGTGTTCCACAAATGAACGATAACGCAAAGTCGTTTAGAAAATACAGGCTCGCTAATGAGGGACATAACAGAAAGCTAAGCAAAATTTACATTAGGCCAACATTTAATTGCATTAACACACAAACAGGTGCAGCGAGGCTTTTATAAATGAGCTAAATGAATAAAAGCCTCCCACCGCACAGCCATGTGTGTTGACCAAAAAAAATAGAAAAAAAAACAGGAGGGGGAAAAATAAGGAGAAAAACAAGTCAATGCCATGAATTATTCAGTGGCTGGGCTGCACTCCAAAGGTCACTGCCCTTTGACCTTTGTGACAGGAAGTATAAGGGAGTGCCATTGCCACTAAAAAAAAGCCGAGCTGATATGTTTAGCCCTCATCCACAAACTATTTGTGAATGGCAACGTAAACTGAAACAGGATGTTGAGCTGTGTGAAACACGGCGTTCACATGAGTAAAAAAACACCACGCCACAAATCCGTCCGTCTCTCTTCCACTCGCATCCATTGCCCAATCTTCCCAGAATAAAACGTGACCTCTGAACCCCAACAGGCAGAATGAGTCATTTTCTCTCATCTTTCAACAACATGTGCTGTCTTATTACAAAATCCATGTGGAAGCCTGGCCAATGTATCTAATCTTTCACACAAGAGAAGACAAAGTCGATATGCAGAAGAGCGGAGACAGATTCCAGACCAGAGGAGTCATCGTAAATTAGGTTATGTTTGGGTGTACACTCCACGCACTGTAAACGGGAAAACCATCTAATCAGATATTGGGTGCCTCATCACTATAAATCTAAAGACTTAAATTACTGACTAAATAAACCTACACCCCCAGTTACTTTAAAGCACCATTAACTTATAAAAGTGACATCTGTAGCACTGCTGGATTTATGCAAACTGCAAGGCGATGCGGCCATAGCAACAACACTGCAATTACTCTCTAGATGAATTCAATTTGAGCACCAACTGGGTTTGAAATTTTCATTTTCATATTTAATGTCAGAAGATGGAGGAATATAATCACATTACACAAAGATAATACACATATTTTAGTTGAATAAAAAAGAAAACCTACTTCTAGTTTTTCTACAGATTTAAAAACTTGACTCCCAGCACACATAAAACCCCCCCAGAACGTTACAAAAACAGCACTTTTCTTCATTCAGAAAATGAATATGAATAATGCAATGGCATCAAATGTAATTGCTGAAATATTTAAAGACCAAGCAGGGCTGAAACTTCGCGACAGCTGTTGGGCCTATATCTAACCGACGTTTTCTCATCTCTCTTTTTTTTTAAAGAGAATCCTTCCTCTTCAAAAATCTGAGTGAAAATCTGTATCAAAACTCAGAGAGAAAATAGGGTAAACAGATGTCTGGCTTGACCGCAGGAAAATAGGACACATTTGGAATGATAAGTTTCTCAAACTCCGTTGGATATGCCAGATCCATGGGAACGCCAGTTAATGTCTCGCTAGGTGCCAGCTAGCTGTGTGTGCTCTCGCCTCTTACCATCTGGGAAAATGTTGCAGAGAACGAACGAACGCCATCAATGATTCATTCCAAATCTGCTTCTTAAGGTTCGGCCACGCTACTGTTTCTCTATGAAATGTGGCAGTGCTAGCTGGGTTTCATGCTGTAATTGTAGACAGATGAGACATGCTTGATTCAACAATCGGAACCTCTCCTCTAGGTTTATGTCACTCAACTGTGTTCGACTCGATTGGAAATAATCAGTTTCTGCCAGCAGCGACCGCAGCACAGGTGCCTCTAATGACGTGCATGAGAAAATGACAGATGTAACAGAAACGGCTGTAAAACAAGGAGGCTTAAACTGAAATCTTAGCCATGTGCGGTGCAAGAAGAGTCAAGTAATTGCACTAAATAATCGTGCAGTGAGCCTACAGTGTGCTCGGGTCATGTTCGTAACTCTTGCTAAACTCTGCAACCTTTCACATGCACCTTTCTCTGCGAGCTTCGCTCCGTCACTGGGAACCTGTGTGGGTCTGTTAGGGTGAGCTGACGGGCTCATAGTTACGACATGGAGACAATGGGAGGGTCTAATGAGGAACATATGCTTTTGTGTTTCAACAGAGCTGCTCATTGTGCAAGGAAAGGGATACTCTGCTCCCATTCAGAGTCGTCACAATGAAAATCCGAGTCCTCCCTGGGCCAGTTGAGCTCACAATATCCATCCGCTTCTTTTTAACCCTGTTTTTCCTTTATTTTCCCACCCCTTCTTCTCCACTTGAATTCTGCGTGCATTCACTTTGCTTATTGTGCTTAAGTTACACGCTTTTGTCCCGCCGATTGAAGAAACAATGACGAGCGAAACTTTAAACAGCCAAAAAGGCAGCAGAGCAGCACAAAGCCAACATGAAAGCAACGGAAATCCGGGCAAAGCCGACGTCTCCGGTTTTACGTTTGAATTTTTCATCTTTAATAAATGCCACTAACTAACAGGTTTGGTGTAGAAGACTGTATCTTCTGCCTCAGCACACGTGGATCGTGCATGGACGGTTGTCTGCCTGCACTGGTGTCCTCGTACGTGTCTGCATTTATCTGCATGTGTGTGTGTGTGTGTGTGGGTCTGAGTTCAGACAGCAGTAGCTCTGGTAATCCATCCAGGCTCCCAGGGCAGCCAGCTCCTACTTCCTGATGCATGAGAAGCCACTGGAGTGGAGTGGCAGCAACAACTGCTCAGTCCTATTTGATTACTAATAAGAGAGTTGTCCCCTCTGTCAGATACCAGGCATTCTCCGCTAAGCAAACAGTGATTCCGGCTAGTCAAACATTAGCATTGCTGTCTTTCCTGCGACGTGGTGAGAGTTACATTGAGATGGAGGCTCAGTCTGCACCCCCTACATCACCTCCATATCCAACACACACACTATATATATATATATATATATATATATATATATATATATATATATATATATATATATATATATATATATATATATATATGAACCATTACAAAACCACCCTCACTGGGAAATGTACATGTATGAATGCATTTCTTCTTTTTGTGTGTTCCCAAAAACAGCAGATGTGAAATGTTTGTCCTTTTAAAAAAATAGATGTTTAATGGCATCTAGCTCACAGCTAAGTTGAGAGAAGGAGGCAGTGAGTGAAAAGCAATTATTGACGGTGTTAGCATCACTGTCACAAACAAAGGCAGGAAGCCAGCCAAATAAATGCAAAGTTGCCTGGGCTAATTAGAGCTTATTCCCAGCATGATTGAACCACCTGTGATTGAGCAAACCCCATCCAGGTGGTGGCCGCCCCTCGGTGCACAGGTACCTGGGAAAGACGCCCCTCAGCCGCTCACACAGAATCACCCACAGTTCTCACACTGTGAGGCTGGAAGCTGCAAGTCAGCCCTACTGGGCTGTCTGGTTTCACTGGGAGGGAACCAATTTGTTCACAAGCTCATCCATTTGCCTGCTCAAGCACTCAGTCAGTCATCTGTTTAGTCGGCGTGACACTCAGTCATTCACTCACTCATTACCTGTTCACACACACACACACACACACACACACAGCCTACCTGTCAATGATCACCGGGTCTGACGGAGTCTCGTTCCTGTTTCCACAGCTTTTCTTGTCACAGCATCGGCTGCAGAAAAACAAAAACATGTAAAGCCAATAAATACTTTTGTAAAATAAATATTTGTGTTTTTCTTTTTCAATTAAAAAAATTCCCTAAAATTTCCATGACTTCATCTATCTAATTCCATTGATGCTGATGGCTGATAATAATAATAATAATAATAATAATAATAATAATAATAATAATAATAATAATAATAATAAATGGTGCAAACAACATGTTGTGTTGTTTGGCTTAGTGTTGGGAGGGGAGTGGGGATTGGGCCAGGAGGCAGGGGAGTCACTTTTCACAGCTTCAGCTTTTGTTTACCTCTAATTGCCAAGCTGCTATTTCTGAGGGAGATGCAAGGTGCCACCCTCAACCAATATTTCTGCAGGGCATTTATCAATTATGGCCTCAAAAGCACTAATCTATCTTCCAACACATGCTCCAGCCATCTCCTCCCTCAAACCTACAGCTTCAGCTGCCTCTCACTTCTTTCTTTGATTCGGGCTTGGATCAAAACTGCGTAAAAATTCAAATAAACGAATGCATCATCCACAGCTTCCATTTGGAAGGAAAACACAGAAACATATGCGAATAAGATTGATTTCTGCCATATGGTGCAAGAAAGAAAAACAAAGAATTTGTGCAAAGCAACTGTCAGTCAACCACACACTGTCTGAGTTTCCCTTATTTACAGGGGGTACTTTTTATCTGTTTTAGCATCAAATAAAATACAATTATTCTAAATAAAATAAATTATATGTATATATAAGTATTCTTATTACATTCATTAGATGTTTAACATGCTCCAGTGCTGCAAAATGCACTTCCTCGTGACAAAATAAAAGTAAATAAATTACCTCTACACCAGCAGCATATTCTGCATGTCACAAATAAGTGATGGATGCATGTATAAATTGAGCGTGAGGGATGAGTTTATGCATGAAAAAGGACAAATCACTCTCATGCTGCTCCTGCTCTCCACCGGCGACTTGAACAATGCACCGGTGCAACAAAGGAGAGGTTAACCGACAGTATCCAAATTCAATGTTCACAAAGCTCACGCTGAGCTCAACAATAACAACAAAAGGACTTTTTCCTTTTGGTATCGGTAACACCGATGAATAGCGGCGCAACATGAGCAGCAGAGATTTATGTGGTTAAATGACACTAAAAGGCTCACTGATCAGTGATGACAGGTAGGATCAACCGAGAAACGAGTCTGTACTTAAAAGAAGAGATGTAGCATGCAGCATTCATGCATAGATGATTGTCTGTGACAGGCTTAAGCACTCATGCACTTCTTCAGAAAACATAAAGAGAGAAATCTGGATTTATATGTTTTGTCACTGGAAGTTTGTTATATTTCCCTTCAGTGACGCAGACAGCGAGCTCATTTTCACTGTCAGGTTCACATCAGAGTAGAAGCAAATCATATCAAAGGTGGAAATGACAGCAGCTGTGTGTGTGTGTGTGTGTGTGTGTGTGTGTGTGTGTGTGTGTGTGTGTGTGTGTGTGTGTGTGTGTGTGTGTGTGTGTGTGTGTGTGTGTGTGTGTGTGTGTGTGTGTGTGTGTGTGTGTGTGTGTGTGTGTGTGTGTGTGGCTGCTGGAAGACCACAGAACAATTTAAGCTGCTGCACCACGTCATAAGTGCCACAGCTTGTTGACGGTGAGGGAATTACTTCCTGCATGCATCTGCAAAGTGAACTAAATATATTTATAAATATTGTATTTATACACGTATTTTGCTCACCTGCACATGATTTCGTGAGTGAGGAGAACTCTGCACATTTCTGGATTCTTGTCCTGACCCTCGTAAACTATGGCCTTGGAAGCAAAACATTAGAGGAAATCAAAACACAAATATTATTTATGACTTGACAAATTATTAGAGCAACGGAAAGCCTTCTGTGTGTTTATGCATTCAAGTGAAATTACAAATGCACACGAAGCAGAAGCAAAGCTCTAAATCAGATGGAAGTTTTATTTGGAAAATTTCTAAATATTTCCTGAAATCTGGCAAAATAAAAGACAAATTAACTAAATTTATTATGTCAAACATAAGGAGCAAAAACTATAATTTTTTTTCAGAAAATAAAAAAAAAATCCTGATAAAATTTGACAATCATACAAATAATAATAATAAACTGTATTTTTCATTAATCCCGATAATATCATGTGGCTCCCACAGACAGGCAGAGGGAGGTTTTCATAAGGAGAGATCCAATAGAAGTGTCATCAATATGCTTATAATCTGGGGATATTTGGGGGAAAGTGTTAATGGGCAATCTGTTGTTTATTTTGAGCCGCTAACAATGATCTTTCTGTGGATAAAAAGCGGTGTCTGGCGGTACGGTTGAGTAATTTTTGAGCATTGGCTGAAACAGATGGCGTGGAGCTATCAGTTCTGCCGCTCTTCTCTCCCTCCCTCGATCCCTCCCTCCTTCTATTTCTAAGACACTTTACTCCCTCCTGCAAGTGGGATTTTTTAAAGATCATTATTGAATAAATACTCCTAAATTAACCAAAATATAAACAAAATCATCGTTAAATTTCATTATTTTATTAATAAATTTAGTTTTATTAATATTGTTATGACACGCTTCAGGCCAACAGGAAGGAATTAGTTTAAAAAGCGACACAGATTCAGGTCGCGTCACTCACAATTTGAAATACATTTAATTTGACCTGGCTTTTAATATTTTTTTCCACATTTTCCTTCCCTTTTTATGACCGATTATCTGTAATGGTTTGATTTATGTCGCTATTTGCAGCTGTAGAAACAGAAATCCATAAATTGCTTGTTCTGCGTCATTGACTCGGATCATTCGCGCAGGAATGTTGTCTGTGACCAGTGGTCCAGGCTTCACGGCTCTATCCGGGAGGCTCCACACCTTAAGCCCCTTGTTTAATAACAAAACATGATGGATGGAGGTGCAGCAGCTGAAATCAGGAGGTTTTAATTCCTCCCAAAGCGTCAGAGCTGCCCGATCTGTGCGCTGCGTGGATGAAAGCCTGCAACATGTGTGTCTGGAGCGCGTGCTGAGCTCAGAAATAACCATAATAAGGATAGAAAATGTAACGCAAGCATTTCCGGTTAAGGCGATGGACAAATGCACACTTGTTAAATATTAATATAAATTTCACACAATTTTTTCCAAAATGCGTTCAGAGCGTCACCTCTGACTCTTTGCGTAAAAAGTCAAATCAGATCATATGGAGCAGAGGTAGTGTTTAAAATTTAATGCTCGACAAACTGAGCCTACAAAGAAGCCAAACTCTAGAGTGACATAGACTTTAGTCCTGCAACGTGATAGGGTCAAACGTAAACAGCCAAATGGAGGCTGTCTGTTCTTATTACACCGGTGATTTGATTTTATTTTGCGCCATAACTGCATTTATTTATGTTTTTTTTTCTTTGTGCACGCAGGACTTGTGGTGATGGTGTGTGTGAGTGTGTGTGCACCTCAGGGGTGACGATTCGAAAGACGTGTTACGGTAGGAGTAGATGTGCGGAGAGAAACAAGTGGAGCAGCAGCTTACCTGCTTCGTCATGGAATCGATTAACCGAATGTAAAGATCCTGTTCTGTTCTGACGCCTGGGTGGGAAGAAAGAAAAGAAAGTTATTTGAATTTTTTTTTAGAAATTTAGGAAGGAAATTAAACAGTAAAACCACTGATAACCCATAAAAATGAATCCTATATTATTATTATTATTATTATTATTATTATTATTATTATTATTATTATTATTACTTTAAAGTGCACTTTCACTCACCGTTGCTGTACAATAACTGTAGTTTGTAATGTATTCCATTGTTTGTTTTTTCACTGGTTGGTTCCTGCAGAGAACAAGTTTGAGAAAAATCCACTCCTAAATCTTTGCTTTATCTCGTGCATGCTTACATTTAGTCTTTTTGCAAAGAGTTGGTAAAAAATAATAAATAAAGGAAATAAACGTCAGTAAAACAACTGTCATCATTTTTCCTTAAAAAAAAGGAAATCAATATTACACGTGACTTCCCCTTAGTAACCCTTTGCCATTCCAGTGAACATAATTTCGATACATGTGCTGATTTTGTGCGGGTTGCATTTATTTCTAATAAAATAAATAAATGAAATTGCAGCGCTTACTTTTTCTTTCTCCACAAAGTCCACAAAAGCTGTCCTTTCGATCTCCACCGGCTGACCCTGCCTGTCATACAGCGCCAGGACGAAATGGAAAAAATTGGATTTTCTGAGGTTGGAAGGGGGCTGCTTTTCATAATGTGCCCGTGCCAAGCCGACACCGCTGCGGGGAGAAAACAAGAGACCATCTCGGTTAAGCACCGGACACCGGGGATAGTGGATGATGGAGAAGCTGATGGAAACATTGAGGATGCAGAAGCGCGCTTTTCGGAGCAGCGGGGGAGAGATTTCTTGATTTGTCACAATAATGGCTAATCTGATGTAATGAAAGACGGGGAAAAAAGCCGAAGGGGGGGCATTTATTGGGAGACCGTAATTGATACAGAGTATTCAGGGGATTGAGGGGTCGATATGATGAGGAGGGAAAATGCGTGAGAAAAATCAGATGCGTTTTTGGCATGCGTACCTTTGGGCGGCTGTGTTTGCATCCACCACCCCAGCTGTGTGCATCCAGGAGCGGACAGAGTTCAGTCCACCCAGCGGTTCCTCCTTCATCGTCGTCCCACCCCGCGGTATAGTTTCCTGAATCCCAAACATTTAGGACAATTTGCGTGGAGAAGAAGATAAAAAAGCAACAACAGAGAGAGCCTCCTGCGAAATTAGGGAAATAAACGTCCAAGCGAGTTATCCTTCAGGGTTTTATTTTCGCCGGGATGAGAGCCGAGTCAGACTTGCGAGGGAAAACCCGGTCCACAGGTCTTGCCTCCCTCTTCAGTCCGTCCGATGTGAACAATTCTCAAAGTGCTGTACTTAGTTAGAGCGGTATCCACAGACTAGAAAAATGAATTGTTCAATAGACAAGTTTTTTTTCGTATGTTGCTATTGTTCCTCTTTTTCTCTCTCTTCTCTTCTTTTCTTTTCTCTTTTTCTTTTTTGACGCTATTCACAGAAAAATCGATGGCAGTTGTTTGTGTTTGTGGGTGATGCTGCTCTCAAAGTGCCCACATCCCTGAAGCACCGCATCCAAAACCTTCAGGACTTCTTGTTGAATAAAAAAACCCCACTCCTGCAAAAGGTGCTGCTGCTTCTCCACAAGACAAACACAGGCAGAGGCTGATCACCAGTGGAGGTGTTCCTCGTACACAGGAGAGGTGGATAAGGGGCCCTTTCGCGTCGTGCAGGATGGATGGGAACATGCAAAACTAAGCCCTCTTTCCCCGAGGACTGAAATCTTTCCCGGGAGCCAAAACTCTAAACCCACGGGAGAGGCGCTGTCAGAACGTGACGCGGAGGAGGCGTGGTTTTGACCATATATGGAGCTGTTACGGTTCCTGTCAGGCAGCGGCGCTCCACTCGTACGGGTCCAGCCCTGTAGTGCAGCAGCATGAGAACACTCACGCGCTCCACTTTTCCTCTTGCTTAGGCCCCCTATACGTGGTGAGTTTTGATTTTTTTTAATGATATGGAAAATGCATCCGGGTGTAACCATCACACATAACGAGGAGATATAATTATAATGATAGTAATAAAATATATATAATAATAATAATAATAACAATAATAAATCCGGATTCGGAATGTATTGCTTTCCTAATGATCGAGATTAGTTTTATTTAAAATGTAATAAAAATAAAAAAATAAATGTATTTTAATATATTCTGGTAAAACAGTGTTAGAATTTTTATAGAATGTTTGTTTGTTTGTTTGTTTGTGCGTGATGTCTTATTGTGAAAGTGCAACCCCAAAATATTATCAAAGTTAATGTAAATTAGTTATTATATCTATTAAATCTAACTTCATTAATGCTGCTAATGATGCTGCTAATTATTTAATGCACCATTCAAAGTTGCTCTCATACATGTTACCATATGTATGTAATTTAGTTAATCAGATAAACCTTTAGTTATTAATCTGCAGTCAGAAAGAGGAAATGTCTCAACTTTTTAAACCAGGAATAAAATAAGGTCAAAAGTTTAGAAATCAGACCAACGTTAACTTTTTGCTGGGAATAATCTGTCTTTTTTATTTATTTTTGTTCATATTTTCAAATGTGTCTCATTAAACAAACTTTCACCGATCCACACGTGCGTCTTTTCTCATTTCACGCACGTCCTGCAAAATCAGTAATAATCAGAAACATCTTAATCATTTTTTAAAGAGTGAACTACCTTCCGTGTCCGACCCTGTCCGATGAGGGACAAGCAAGCAATTCGGTTCATTAGTGGTGAAAGGGGGGGAGGAGGGGGTGTAGAGGGTGAGAGAGGGGAGGGCGCGAGGAAGAGAGATGTGTGCTATCCTGAGCAATCTATCTAGCTGGTGCTGAGGGTTAATAGCTGCTGCCAAAGATAAGTGAATTATAAGCTGTTGCTTTCACCTCTACAAAAATCTATGGCCAAATTGCTCCATCACAAAAATAACTTTTTTTAAACTTTGTTCTTATTTATAAATAATTAAAACATAGAAAATGTAACCTCAAATAAGGGTTAAATGTGGTATTTTCTTTTTTTCTCATTATTATTTTCTGCTAAAACTGCACACATCCATTTGTTCTGCACAACAAAGTCTGTCTTTTTTTTATCATTTTTGCACAGTTTCAAGTTGCTTATTAGAACTTAACCCCTGATTACACGCACCAAGGCGATTTAAATCTGATTATCAAATTAGGAGACTTTGAGACAAATCCTCTTAGATCTGATACTGTTGACTGGAGAGGGAAAATGGATCTCCACACCCGTCACGTAGGTAACGATGCTGTCCTGAAAGGGACTTTTAAAGCGTATTTGACAACAAATGCAGCTGTCCCGCTATTTCAGAAGATATTAAAGGAAAATGAATGCAAATCTGTGTGCAGGAGCCATCTGGACGCGGAGAGAGGGGAGTCAGCTGCTGCTGCTGCTGCTGAGGCGCTGAGCCTGAATCCGTCTCAGCTCATTCTGTGGGATCATCTGCGTGGTGGGCTTTACACCGTGGAAAATGCGCTCTCCATCATTAGGTGAAAATGTTAGCGTCAAAATAAAAAAGAAATGCTGATCCCAGTTTGTTTTAATGGTTACATGCATGGAAACTTTGCACGGGTTCTGGATTTTTAGAGGACCCCCAGTCCAATGTTCTCTTTATTAACTAAAAAAAAAGCTGAGCTGGAGGTAAGTGGAGGGGCAAGGTGCGCAAACTACAGATCTGATCTCTTGCGTCTTTTAGCCGCCTCGATTCAAGCTGTGCGCACATTTAAATGACCGGCTGATGACATGTGGAGGAGGTGAGGGGTGGGGGTGCTATCTCTCTTCTATTCACTGAACACAATGAATGAACCCCCAAAGATTTGAGTCCGCGCGCGCTGATAGCAAACCAAAACTCTTCGGTGCGCGCGCTCATCCCTTCCCAATCAAAATGTACGGTGGCGACTTCGAAGACCTCCCGAGCCTCCTCCGCATTGAGGGTGACGTCTTCTTTGTGTGTGTGCATGTGTGTGTGTGTGTGAATTTACGGGGCGCGGCCCTTATGATCTTCCTAAATTTGCATGTAAATGGCGACATGAGCCTGTGCGCGTGCCAGGGGCCAGCGGGCCTCCCAGATGTCAAGGCAAAGTCAATCAGCCGCGGCCGCTGCCCAGCTGTCCATCGATGCACTTTATTGGGACAACACTTTCATTACGCTCACCTGCATTGTTTCCTAATGGATTGATTGGCGAAAAGAAGGGGTGGGGGGTGGATGGGTGAGGCGGGGGTGAGTCTTATTAGCGCCTACCAAGAAAGCTGCTCATGGCAACAAAAAAAGGTTGTTTTGGATTTTTTTTTACTTCTTCCAATGTAATATTTATCAATTCCGCCCACAACTAAACAGTCTAAATTCCACGTGGAAAGAAATACTCAAAACAATGCTCAACCCACTTATTGTTTACAATACTAAAGAAAAAACATGTCTTTAATTGTTTAGACTCACAACATTTTTCATTCGTTCGTTTATTTTTAGCTGGTTTGTCATTTTTGACGGGTTTTGGAAACTGGGAGAGTAAATAAAATATTAAATAAATGAACAAATACATTTGTGTGAGTCATTATTTCACTGATTTGAACTTTTTTGTAACGTAAAAAATTAAAATCTTAATAAAATGAATACCCATTTTGTAATTTTGCGCTTTTATTTTTGTCCTCTCCCATCCAAAAAGTAGCTTCTTTGATGTATCAAATGAAATCTATAAATCAAATTGAACCAAATAAATAATGTAATTTCTCATCAGACTGGCGCTAGCCTTCATAACTTTTCCCACCTTCCTTCTTTATTACAGGCGCTTTATTTCCAGGCATTTTTATTTACTCGGGACGGATCAAAGCGCGTCCGGAATTCGATTTGACGCTCTTCAAACATGATATTAAAATACAGCTTGTGCGTTATTTTTAATTATGGCGGTAAAACACAAATGTGCAGGAGTGATGGGATCAATCAGGCTTTACTCGCGGCTGATAGACGGACAGCGCCCCTCGTTGGTTACACTGGAGATCGATGTGAGGAGGCTGTTCTTCAGAAATCGAGTTTCAACTCTCACCCCGTCTCACAAATGAATCATCCAATTTAAAAAAAAATGTATATAGGGAAAAAATACTAAAGAAAAATGTTTTGACTGAAAAAATATGTTTTTTCCAAACATGTCATAAAAAGACTGTTAATAAAGATGCAAACTTGTTTAAAGGGATATTGAAACAAGCTTTAGAGTTGAATAATTACAAGTTTATTATTATTATTATTGTTGTATTATTATTATTATATTATTATTATATTATCATTTCTACTACGAGCTGCCAGTGTGACCTCACATTTCGTCACCAACTTCTGTCAGAGTGCTCATGTTAATTGTGTGCAGTGGTGAGTTCTGTCAAGGGCATTGCCCGTGCGCACGAATTTGCATTTCCATTCTGCTGTGGAAATGATGAGAGCGTTTCTGCGCGGTGTAGAGCCTCGCGGCGTAGTCTGTGGGCGAATTACATTTAAAGAAGGCGAGAGAAATTAAATAAAAAAAACGAGACCACTTCAGGGCTATTAACATCTAAAATATCCCCTGGAAATTTCGACCAAAATACACATGACCAAATACCCAGGGTCTCCATCGTGTCCATCACTGTTTTGTGGGCCCATCTGAAGTTCCTTATTTAAGGGAAGTTATGACACCGCTTCAGATTTGATGAAATCGAGGCAAATTTGATCAGTCAGCTTTAGGTTATAATAAATGTGACCTGCTGCCAAAGAGGGCGCATAGAGGGGAAAAAAAGAGAATTGACTTTGAAAATCATTTAAAAATCTCATCAGTAACTATGACATGGGCAAATGGCCTGTTTTCTTCTTTCTTTCTTTTTTCAAGAGCACCTGCGCACTTCCAAAGAAACAGCGGGAACTTTGATTTACCTCTTGACCTCCGTGATAGGGATGCTGCCAACTTATGCATTAAAAATTCCAATAATTTCCCAGTGAGTCCCATGAAGATGTGCACCCTTTCAACATGTTGCATCAGTGTCTCTAATTCCTTTCTACAGGGATCATTTGCTGGTGATGGGAAGTCCGTCGCCACTCTGCAGCCGAACCTTTGAATCCAGCCATTTATTAATTTTGAAGTGCCTTGCTATTAACATAGATGTTAATTATGATGCCAAGACAGACAGAGTCAAGGTGAAAGCTGCACAGCAATAGCTAAAAATAATCCAGTACTGTGTGATCCTGCAGAGGTGTGTTCTCTGGCTACAGGGATGCTTTTGCTGCAACAAAGATGTGGAAACGGGGAAGTAAATGAGTCCGAGATGTTGTCATTGTTTCATCCACGACTTGACCTGTCCCGATTTTTTTTGCCAACCTCTCCCTTTTCCTTGCCTTTGCTGCAAATTGTATAATGCTGCTCTTTGTTCCACTGAGTGGAGCCACATGAATAGCCGTCCTGAGCGCGCACAAAAACACACTGACAAACCGATCATCTTAAAAAAGCAACGCCCTGGTGCTCACTTGGCCTACTTTCCACGGCAGCGCAGGGACGTGGGAAGAGGAGTAGGATTCAGGGGAGGATGTTCTTGCACTCTGGGAAGCATTCAGTATAGCAAAGTGAGATGCACATAAACATAGCCCTCACACTGTCAACCTTAGACCGTGTTTGCCCCAGATAACTAGTCCCCGTGTGCTAGACTATTCTCTTTGACTTTGCAATTGAAATCCTGAGAAGATTATGCAAAAGCTAAAGGAGGCAAACTCCAGGGTGGGATTTCAATTGTCAATTCCTGTTGGATTTTATAGCATTATGACATATAGCACACCATCTGTTACACTTCCTGTGAGTACAGGTCTGCAGCTGCACAAGTGGAGTCTATTGATGCGAACATCAGTATAATTAAAAGCTGGCTCGGAGAGGACGTCAAGATTCAATCTAATATTTCCCTCTTAAACTCCCTTTTTAAGCACAGATGTAAGGCTAAGCAGACAGGTCTCTGGGTAACACAACACCAGAGTAAATTAAAAAAGGTGCAGGAAAGTAACCACTCCTAACTTTAGCTAAACAGACTTCCCAAAGCGCTAGATAATCTGGGGCTTCTACGTACACCGCCTAACCAAATGTCGACATCTGTGAGGGTGTGCATGAAGAAAAGCTCCTGTGAGAAACGGGGGATAATAATCTTAGTTCCCTTCACCTTCAGCCTGCCCATAGGGGTTTAAAAGAGGGAGATGAAGGAATCCTATGTAAACATGCCAAGTCAAATTTTCACTTGAAACGTGACATAAAGGCAAAGGGCAACCTTGGCGCATCACTAATGTGCTTCCACGCATGAGCGTTCAGTGCCCCTGGATGTAAACAACTGATGTATTCAGAACACGGTTTTGAGCACCGACTCATTTAGTGAGCTGGAGCGCCATTTTGATCCGCAACACGTTAGCGCGGATAGGCGACGAGCCCGAAAAGAGTCAACAGGAAACTTGTGCACGGTCTGAATCTTGGTTCTCAACCGCTCCACGAAAGTGAGTTTCGCTCTCTTGAGGAACATACAAAGTTTGAGCATCTGTTCCATCATGTCGCCTTTGTTGGGAAATTAAATATTGAAGTGATCTGGTGTACCATGAATGTTTCACTCACATGGTGATTAGACAAACCGAGGAGGCAAGACATCACAGCACTTTACACTCAACTTCAATATACTGTATCTGTTGGTCTTGTCTTTAAGGGTTTTGTACACCAGATTGCATTGTTGGTAGAGAGGATGGTTGGCGTCAATTATGCCTAAAACGTGCAGGCGTAGCTCGACACACAGCCGGTTTTACATGCACGTCACATTACACTCAGAAAAACAATCAACTAGGAGGACTGTTGTTCAGTCCGGTTGGTGCAAGTAAAGATAATTGGAAAGAAATAAAGTCATGTTTTGTTTTTATGATTTAATAATAAACCCAGTGACATCTGTTTTTGATGCTGTTATAAAAAGCACCAAGTTAAATTGTTTTTCTTGTTGCGTCTCAGAATATAAGACATCTTTTTCTTTCCCCTCACTTCCTCGTCCCTTCTTCCAAATCAACAGTTGTCTCAAAGGAGAGCCTTTAATTATGTTTTCTTTCTCTTCAATATAAAATTGTGGATTAAAATGAGCCGAGGTAACATGTGAGCTGGAGACGGAAACGGTATCATCACAGAGATGGTGAAATAGTGTCGTGAGTAGTCTTTTGTCCAGGACCTGAGGAGAGTTCTGTTGCTAAAAGGAAGGACAAAAGCAGAAGGCGCCACGGGTATAAGGTTCCCCTCACCAACAATGCTGAAAGTTTCAACTTGCAGCACATGGGTGGAACTTTAACTGGACTTCTGTGGATCAAAGACTCACAAACATAGTGGGTGAAAATGCTGGAAGAATGCTCGAGTGAAGGACAGGAGCGACAGTCGGGGCTAATTACCGAGGCTGTTGCTGTGAGCTCGGAGGGCAGCTTGATTCATTCCACTAAACTGGCACAGATTTAAATAAACTAAAAAAAAACACCTGCGCCAGTTTAGGATTTTCAAAAACGAGCTTTGCTTT